CTCCACCTTAGACCTACCTCACCACATGGTTTTACTCTATAAAAGTCTCTGAAAGAGATTCCTGGGCAACCCACTTGGGTCCCCCTTCTGTCCCTCTCTCTTGGACAGGAGCTTTCTTTCCCCCCCAAAATATTCTGCTCTTAACCTCCATTTGCTCATAAAATTCATTCTTTGGTTTTAGAGAATGCAAACCCGTCCCAGGTACCTTTCAGGTCAGTGGTTTCCTTCCCCCGTGTCACAGTCTCACCTGTACTCGCAGGAAGCGCGGCCTCGCGTAGGATGGCAGGTAGTCAGTAACGTGCTGAAAGAGCTTCTTCCCATCAAACTCTGAGTTTTCTTTCATCCTGATGGAGGCCATTCCAATTCGACCCTCATGACCTAGGAAGAAAGTCAGAACACGTTAATGTATTTGGTTATTTATTTACTGCCTAAGGCTTTGTGGACTGAGACATCAACACAGGTTTCTTTGGAACAGTTGCATTTTTTTTTTTTTTTTTTATTTCAAATCGATGTGGCGCCCGCCTGTAACGCCAGCAGCCTGAGGCTGGAGGGTCGCTGTGAGTTCCAGGCCAGCCTAGACTACATAATGGGATCCTCTCTGTTAGAAAAACAGATCTACATTGTTATTCTACGGTGACTGTACTAACAGTTTTATTAGTGATGATTACACATTGCCTGAGTCATCTGTTCCAGGCCTGTGCTAAGTGCATTTTATAGCTTAGCTCATTTAACTTTCCCCACAGCCTTCTGGAGAGGTACAAGTGCCATTTTCATTTTACAGATGAAGAAAGAGATGGAAAGACATTAAAAGCTTGTTCAACGTCAAGCAGCAAACACTAGGAAGTAGACCGGGCCCATTTTCTGTGACACCACCATCCTTCTTAGTGGCTCCCACAGCGACCCCCGAGCAGTAGGACACAGGACAAGTGTTGCCCAGGGAAGTCTTTCTGGATTCCAGTGGAAAGGCCTTGCTTCCTGTCATGAAAAACTGAGCCCAGGCTCTCTTTTAGTTGGCAGCGCCAGTCCATTGCGTCTCCAGGCACAAACACTACCTTGGAGACTTCATTATTTAATCAGGGTTCCTAAGAGCTTCATCTGTCTGTGTGGCAGAGAAGCTTCGGGCTGGAGGGTGACAGGCATAGGCTAGAACTGCTGGGTGCCCTCCCATTCCTGCTCTGCTCAAGGTCTCTAGAGAAGGCTCTGCAAGACAACATTCACTAGCGCTTAGTGGGGGAGGGGTGAGAACAATTACCCTTGTTTTCTTGTGGGGATGGTGGTAATGAGGCGCCAGACTCAGTGGGAGCCCAGTCCACTTCCCTGTACTACTAGCTGCAATCAGAGAGGGGGCGGGAGATGGCCTTGGTCACCTGGGTCCCAGCTTTCGAAATCTCTCCCCTGGGAGCTGTGTGTTTATCTACTGCTCTAAGGAAGGCAAAGCACAAAAGGAAAACATTGTAGGAGGGCTGCTGCCTCCTTCCATTTGCTTCCTAGAAGACAGACCCTCTTTGTGCTGTAGGCAGCTGGGTTAGATTGAAATTT